TTTTAATTATTAAGGGGGAAATTTAATTTAATTTTAAATTTAAAATTTACAAAAAAACCTACCCAAAAAATGTTCCCATGGGCCAAATATTATTTTCCCCGCATCAAAAATAGAGGGCAAACTGTCCCCCTTTTTTTCATCAATTTTTTTTGAGAGCTTTAAGAATTTTTTAGTCCTGAGTTTATAGATGAGGGGAAAAAATCCAAAAATTTTTGAAATAGGGAATGTTTTAAAAAAACCCCAAAAAATGCAATTGATTTAAAACTTTTTAAAAAGTTGCTTGAAACAATTTTTTTAAAACCAAAAAGGGGCCCAACCCGCCTTAAATTAACTAAAAAAAATTTTTTGGTTTTCCCTTTCCATGAAAACTTTGGGTTTAAAATGCCCTTTCTTTTTAAAACTTTTAAATTAAAGTTGTATTCAAAAATCTTGTACAGTTTTTAAAAAAAAAATTTTATAAAGAAAATTTCCCCCCCAAAAAGCTGATGGATGTGTCTAAAGATTTTCCCTTTTAAAATTTCAATAAAATTTATTACGGTCAAAAGGTTTAAAAAAATTTGAAAATAAATTAAAACAAATAAATATAGCATTAGAACTGGCAAGATTCCCCAAAGCTCTATTTTTTTCTTTTAGAGAAATTTTTAAACCCTCCAAAATTTGGAAATTTTTAAAAAGTTTAGGAAAATAGATCAAGCAAGTCCATGGTCGACAGGTATAAATTGAAACTTGTTTCACAAAAAAAAAGTTTTTTACAATAAAATGAATTTTTCCTTTGGTTTATATAAAAAATTTGATCCTTTTAATTAATAGAATTTGGGGGAAAAATTTAAAAAAATTTCATGGAGAAATAATTTTTAAATTTTCTTGGGTTTGAATAGGGTTTGGGGGGGAGTTTTGCAAAGGGGCCTATCCAAGTTGGCTCGCCGCGGCCCTACGTGTTTAAAACCCTGTGGGATTTTAAATTTTGAGGGGCTGGCCCCGGGCCCTTATTTGCTTCCCCGGATGCTTCACTTTTATAGTTTTTTGATAAAGTGAGTAGTCACGAAAGCGCTTGGAATTTCTTCTATTTTTTCAGAGTGGTTGTTTTGCATATATATAAATAT